CTATCAGCAAAGGCATGAAATTAATATAAAGAATGGTTACAATAGAAGATATAAATAATGTTGGCAATGACTCGATCACAAGCGTGCGATTTAGTTCAGCATAAGCGTATTAGGCTACTATTCTAGGGATCGTAGGTTTAAATCTTGGCGGCAATTCGATGCGTTCTTCAATAATTATATTGTAGTTAAGAAGATAAGAATATAGGCATGCAAAACAGTAAATAATAAATTGAACTGGAAAAACAAAAGTAAATAATAGCAAAAAAATTATTTTTTTCGTTGAGATAACATTAATTTTTTTATAAAAAATAGCTTTTTTATTTAAGAAAATTTTTTATTACATATAAAAAATATATCTTTCATTTAAAAAAAAAGTTGTAAAATTACATAAATTATTTTTTTAATTCTAATAGCAAGAAATAACCAAAAAATTTCTTCAAATCAAGGAAATTGAATCGATGTCAATAAGTAACAAATAAATAACAATTTCACTCATTTGTGATGTCACAGTGACAAATTTTGCATTGAGTAAATGTTATATATGCATTTCATCTCAATAATACATAATTGTTATATGTCAACCCTGTCGCCGTTTCGTATTTAAATCATCTCACTGTTATGTAATTACTATGGATAAAATAGGACGACAAATTTGAGAACATTCTCCGCAAATTCACATAACTTTTTACATCACTGTTACGATCCAAAAAATTAAGATTATGTATGAGTTATGAGTTTGAGATGTATTTGTGTTTGCTCTCTCTGGGAAGAGGTCTTATAGATGAACGACTTTGTAACGCCACAATCGAAACGCCTGTTTATACAATCACCAGCAGAAAGGTGCGATTTTTTTTTTCGATGGATTTTGGAACTCGGTCTTGCTTGTAAAGCGATTGAACGTAATTGGACCCATAAGTAAAAACCAATCGCACGTCACATTCCGAAACTCATCGAAAAAAAATTGTTGCAACCTTTCTGCTGCCGAGTGTACGCTATATACATACAGTTATATTCTCTGTGGCGCTACAGAAAAGCGAACATATTTCTCCGTATGCGACACTTTTCTCCGTAGCTCCGTATGAATAGCTCGGCGTTTTCGATTGTGGCGCTACAAAATCGTTCATTTGTAAGAGCTCTAAAACCGAGCATGTAAAGCGTATTCTACAATTGCGTAAGTGTAATTGTAAATACATTGTGTGTACCTGCATTGGACTGTCAAAACTCTCTTTTTCGCTTTCGCCAAATATCAAACATATATATATCTTATTTTAAGTTCCAAAAGTATTCTAGTTCAGCTATAGAATACAAACTTACTGTATGTCGGAAACCGCGTATGCCAGTTAATTTTTTAAAATATTCAACGTATTATAAAATATATACATGTTTAATCTCTCTTTTCTTTTTATATTTTAATTAGCTATATTATCGTATGACTTACTTTTTGTCTTATGAAAAACATTACTTAGAATAATGATTAACTCTATTAGATTGAAAGTATTTTGAAAATTTATTATTGTTATTCGAATCTTAATTCGTCGAATATATTTTTAACATGTATAAATGTATATATATATATATAGACCCTCTAAAGTGATTCAATATCTCAAAAAAATGACATATTTTTTTCAGATTTGAATAATTTTTTAAAATATGCTGTGCATAATAAGCGGAAAAATTCTGTTGACGCTCTAATTCTTAACCAATTTTAAAGTATTTTTTAAAAATTTGCTTGAATTAGAATATCGGCCAAATTTTATCAACAAAAATATTTTTCCGCCTACTGTGTCTCGGTGACATACTGGTTAAAATCGTTTAAAAAATCTGAAAAATATGATATTATTTTTTTTATTATAAATATGATGAAAAAATAAATACCACTTAGTTAATATACAAATGACTTTATATTATTCTTCAAAGTAAATTCCTCTTACATGATTTACACGGAGCGACTTTATTCGCTTAAAACAGCGTCTAGTGACGTCATAGTGAATTGTCTACTAAAAACTTTTTCTAGATGATGTTTTTTCTTGTTAGCGTATAGTTGCGACCAATACTACTTTGTTGCTTAACTTCTTGAGTTTCTTATCACTGATGATAAACGCTTCGATTTTTGCTTTTCCATAGAGCGAATTTTAAGTCGTCAAGCAACTACTCGACGCTGCAACTTTAAAATTTTAGACGCTAGCGAATAAAAAACAAGCGTGTAGAAAAAGCTTTCATTAGCGAATACGCTGATAAAAGTTTTTTCTACACTCTTATTTTTTTATTCGTTAGCGTCTAAAATTTTGAAATCGCTTTATGACTTAAAAATTCGCTCTGGAAAAATAAAAATCGAAGCGTTTATCGCCAGCGATAAGAAGTGTAAGAAACTAACGACAAGCGTCGAAAGCAGTCACAATTAGATATGTTGTCGCTAACAAACTCTCTAAATCTGAATTAATGGATAGTCACTAATTACTCAGTGGCACACTGGGCACTGATAATTAGTGAAGTTTAACTAAAAAAGGAAGAATATTTGAACATTATATAATTAAAATACCGATATTTGCTAATTTCAATTTTCCAATACCATATTCATTGAATTTATGCACTAAAACAAGATTAATTAGACCATATAACAAAGATCAGCTAGGGATCACATTTCATTCATTGATTACCAGTGGCATACTTGGCATTGATATCAGTAATATCAGTGATGAACTTTTTCTAGACGCTGGATTCCTCTCTTTTTAAATCTGAATAAAGTCATTAGATATCTAAATCGTCTCTATATCTGAATAACATCACTAGACGCTGCTTTAAGCGAATAAAGTCGCCTCGTGTAAATCATTCAATATAGAAACAATATACTTCTGACGACGTTCATACAGCTTACGAAAACTCTGATGTGAAAAATCGTCTTTGGATATCGTCTAAAGTCTTGTCACACAGTTTCAAGTAGAACATAGAAATTATAATAAAATCATAAGAGCATCATTATGATCTTATTTATTGTAGATTTATTTTTAAGTACATTTTTAAATGATATGATAACGTCCTTCAATGATGTCATTATGACTTAATTATGACTTTGTGTCCTACTTGAGGTTCTGATTCAAAACGTGTTCTTGAGTCAGCATTGCGTTACCATTTTGAATCACTCTTTCTACTTCCCCCCGACCAACAGACTTCTGTGCCACCAATGATTATTTATAAAAAATTTCCGAACAATAAATATGTAAGTTCCGATATAAAATTTTATTTATGATTTTTATTCACCATATTAAAGGAAATCAAAATCCATGACAAATCCTTTGTGTTTTCTTCTTGTGAGCAAGATAATAAATTATTAGGTGTTGGAATTAATTCGTAGCGTTTTACAAGAGATGGGAAGTACTTTCATTAATGTATTTTTTAATGCTCATGTGAAATAAATAACATTCTTTCATTAAAAAACGCTACGAATTAATTCCAACACCTAATAATTATCAGCCAGAAACTTTTGGCTGCTACATCATTAATGGCAAATTTTAATTATTACACATTAATTAATCAATTTTTTTAATAATATAAAAGTTTATATATATAAAAAAGTACAGAAAAATAAAATCATTATTTGATAAAAAAACATTTAAAATTTCTTTAATTAATTAATTCCCGAAGATTTTTAATTTGCATTAGATGTTTATCTTACATCACATGTATTATTTTATATCGCTTTAAATCTTTAATTCAAGCTTATATTGATATGTCGGACGGCCACGTAATCCTACAATACGCAATGAGATACGTGCTCACGCATGATTTATTGACTGCCATCGAGGAAAAGTTATTCTTCTTGTGGCGAGAAGTGTAACGAGAGCTCGATATATCAAACGGTTACGCTGGCGATCATCTTGCAAAATTACAGTGGTCCAAAAAGGCATCGCGATAAATCTCACCGACGCATCTCGGTCTTCCACGCTACGGTCGCCGAGGGCCGCAAAATTTGAGAGAAATTTGATACACACGATTTATCTCGACTCGACACCTTGCGTTATCCTTTTAGCGTCCGTGTCTGATCGGAAAGATGATCGATACGGCAGATCAGGACGATTAAAGAACTCTAAAAAAAAAATAAACGTCATTGTTGTGCTCTCTAATGGAAGAACGATGTCGCTTAACTTAAAAATAGTAACACGCACTTATTATATACAATGTAATATTAATATTCAAAATATGTTATAAAATATTTCATATTTAAAAAAGTAAATATTAATCATTTATCATATAAAAAAATTACACACATCGTATGTAGTACATTATATTTCGTATTAACTCTACATTACTTGCGTAGTTTTTTTATGTAATTACTTAAGTGAAAATCATCATAAAGTTATATGAATCGGAAACTTTCGGCAATCATTATATCTATATATACATTCATATTAAACAATATTATATCTTAATTTTCATAGTTTTCCTTCATGATTTATATTTAACAAAAATTGACATAATATTCTATACATCCTTTAGTTGAAGAAAAAAGCAAAATAATTGTTTTAAATTGTAAAATCATTTATACTAAATATAACAATATGAATAAATATACAGCATTCATAGTTCTAACGAATTTATAATAAACCTAAACACCCCATCAGAATAATAAAGGATTAACATACAATGTTAATAATGTGCACAATATTAAAATAAAATTTAGCAGAAATGAGAATAACGTACATAAATTTTAAATATTATTTTTAATTTTTTAATAATTCTTAAATCAGAACTTTTTATTCTCTTTAGTTCGTAGCTATTGATATTGCTCTAACGATTTCCTTTAATCTTTTATGATTTCTCTCCCATTTTCTGCTATCAGCAACATCTCATTTATGACGTTATCCAACAATTCCGCAAGGATTCTCTTTCTCTTTCTTCGGTCATCGAGTATAATGCGATGTATGAACGTACATGGTAACGTATACATAGTCACGGCTTCGATAACCCGGGAATGTCTGTCTGTGTATATAAGTGCTGAGAAACGACGTGGCGCGACAGAACGTTAGCGACGTTAGGTGCAATATTGCCGATCGCCGGTGCTCGCGAAATAAGTCGATATCTGCTTGTGTATGACGTGATCTAACCGGATCTACTATACGCACGCGAAGGAAAGACGGCTCCACTTTCCCATTTAATTTGTCTATCAATCCGTGGAGATCAAGAGTATTTTGGAGGAAAATGGCCAGGAAAGCCTGTCACGTCATATTGATTATTTCATTGTTGACCAGGTCAGTTCTTTTCGATGAAGATAGTCAATTTTTTTCAGCAAAAAGGCTGTGTTCCAAATTTACTGCTAGGGCTGAAAATCTATATTGTACGTTACGTGCACTACAAATTTTCAACACTGACAGTGAATTTCAGAACACAGCCGGTTGTGTAAGAGATTGATTTCTATCTCAAGGTCTCATAAATTAAGCAGAATCCAGACTGATCAAACAAGCGGGAGTACATACGAACAACTTACAATATATCTTGAGATACCCGTTCATTGAAATGAATATTATTATTTATTTGCTTAGTCTGAATTCACTTTTAAATCGCAAACTATTTCCTGAATGCGCCGAGTGTTTAGTCTGCGCAAATGATAACAGATTCAATTATCATTATGTATTTATTCATGGTCAGCGCGTATGAATCATCGCATTTTTCACATGCGCGAACTATAGTTTGCAATAATTGCGAATACGTGTCAGGCAAATAAAGAGTATAATTTATCATTGGTTCTCGACAGTTCCTGATACAATTTTTTTATTTTACAGTGTTTATTTGGGGATGGCTGCCCCTAATTGGGAGACCGATCTTACAAGCAACATCAATGCAGAAGTGAATCGTATGTTAAAAAATTTGGATGCGAATTTGCGGATTTTGGATACGAATACAGAGAATTTGAATAAGCAAGTAGATAATTTGAATCGGCGAATAGAGAATTCGGTGCAACAAACACTTGCGCAAGTCGACGAAACATTCAAGAATCTTTCAAGAGGTAATTAATCACAGAATTTTACAATATCTACTAATGTTTATTTGATTTAAGAACTGCATCAATATGTAATAGAAACTGAACAATCATATCCTTAATAGCATAATTCAATTATTTAATTTAAATAAATAATCAAAAAGTTTAAAAAATTTTTGAAAATAAACGCCTAAATCTTCGCATTATTTATATATATTTTTTTATGCAACTAATAAATCCAAAGGATATAATAGAAATCATAGCAATATGTTTATGCATATACCGAAGTGCGTCACTAAATAGATGAATTTTTTATCTTATATCTTATATTTATACTTCATTGATATTTTTTAGCTTAATTTAACATCATTTAATATAATTTTATCCAATATTTTTTTCAAACTTCTGAATCAATATTTGTGATTCGAATGCAGTTTTCTCTCATTTCGCGTTCAGAAAATCTCGGAGCATCGATATCTAAATATAATATGTAAAAATACAGTTTCTTAAATTTCTCGCACTCACGCGGAAGAGAGAAGTCTCGTGTTTGCATAATAGTTCGCGGTTAGCGATATTCTTTATCGTTATAAAAGATAAAGAAACGGAGATTCCAAAATTGCATTCGCTGCGTAGTCGATGTCCCTTTCACAATTGGCCATGATACAGAGCAGACACTTAGCATTCTCTATATTAAGTCTCAAGGCGGCCGGTATTCCATTCATTCGATTCGATAATTCGTTGCTGACGTTTAATTTCGCACAACATTTATCTATGCAATTAGTAGGTATGAGAGTATCGAATCAAATAGCGTTATCATCAGCGATAAAAATTTAACCACCACAATACCCGCTTGAAATCGACCGGTCCGACAATTGATGACATTGTAATTTAAAAGCAATTAGCCTGGTATTATATAAAGTATCATAAAGCTGCACTGCTGGCTCAAACAAAAGTCTACTGTAATATTACACTACTGCTAAAAATTAATTAAATTATAATTTGTTTAAAATAGTTTCTCTTTTCCCCAAATAAAATATCAAATTTCTTCCAACAATTATTATACATATTGATTGATGATTAGTCATGCGCTGATTGTGTAATTAACATAAAGCAAATATAAAGAAAAGAGAAAACAAAACGCAAATTTTTTGCAGATGGACAAGGACGTTTAATAACAAATGGACAAGTAATAACAAGTGGCGGCAACATCGTAATTAATTCTGTAAATGGTGTTAGTATGATTCGGAAAACCGAATCTGGTTATACATTAAACGGAACACCGTACATGAATATTACTACAGATACAAATGATGGGAAATATTTTCAACATAACGCGACTTTTTACAATTCAACATCTGATGCTATGGAGACAATTTGCTGGAAATTAAAGCTCGAACATGCTCCAGATGCTCAACCTGAATATTTCCCTTGTAAATAAAACAATACATTTTTATTTTCATTTTATGTTCTGTATTATGATATACAATTTGTTTTGCTTAACCTTTTGTTGTACAAATTTTTCTATTTTTCTATTATATTTGGCTGAATTTTAGTATATAGGAGTTTTTGGAGTTGCTGATTACAAATCTTAAGTCAAAATTTAAAAAAATCAAAATGGTATACTTAATATGGCAGCTAAATTGAAAAGAATTAATTATGGCTTATTTACGTAAAATTTTATAAAAACATTAAAAAATTATAAAAAATATTAAGGATATTAAGTATATAAAAAGTTAAGAATATTAAGAATTTATGTTTTATTAATATCAGAATTTAATATGTCTTGATAGTTATTTTGACCGCCATTTTGAATCTGTCATGAAAATTTGTCAATTATGAGTGCAGATTTAAAATCAGTGAATATTAATATAGGTAGAAATTTTGAAAGTATATTTAAGGAGCAGATTTTCAAAATGCTAAAATTTATAATTTTTAGAAAAGAAAGCCATAAGAAAATTGCGCGCCTTACAGAAAATAACAATTTGTAATCAGTAAAATGTGAAAACAAAATTGCTAAACAGTTGTTAAAAATATTAAACATTTTGTTTGTCTCTAGTTAAAAGACGTAATTCACTTCGAATGTCAAGATTTTTTTTAGCACATAAATTGATGGTGTAGAAATGCTTCTAGAACATCGTAGAGTAGTTTAAAATATGAATCTTTCAACATTAAACACTATATTGCTTCTTTAACTAAAAAAAAAAGGAAATTTGTGACAAAATGTATTTTGGAAGTCTCCTTATTTATTATCATTTTTATCTCAGCATGAATTTTTTTATAAAAAGAGCGCTAATTTTGATTGATTTTTTATTTCTAATTTATATTTACCGCAAAATAATTACATATTTTTTGCTATTCACGTATACACACAAGTTTTACGATACTAAATACGTAATATAAATCAATTATCCAATATGTAAAAATGTAAAAACATACAAAAACTGCAATGAGAAAGAAGTGCCTTCTAGCACTTCTTTTCTACTTTTCACTTCTAGCACTTATAACTATGCAACAAAGAATTAAAATTTTACATAAATTAAGCTAATTGGTAAACTAATTAGAAAAAAATAAAGCTACTTTCAAGCCTTTGTAGATAACAAAATAAATAGTAAGAGAAATTATGAAAACAAAAAGTAAAATACTATTGGATTTTTATTCATTAAAATTTGATGCAATTGATGCATCAGAAAAATATGTTTTTCTCACTCAGTATGATGTTAAGAAGATCAATAACGGCGAAATATGTTTGATAAGCACCTTTGCACGCTTCTCGGAATATCGTTATCTGTTGGAGAACGCAAACTGATCGTAAAGTGCAACAGTAAAATCGTGAGTTATGCGGTGGGGAAAGTCACACGATTATCAAGTTGCGCAAACTGACGGAATAAATAGAGTTAATTTTTTATTATGGTTTTGTAAAAGGGTGTTTGAAATAATAAATTAAAATATGTGATAATATGACGTTATAGCGACTTTGCGGTATCAATTCGCAATATCCATTTCTTGCGGTTTCTGACTATGTATGTTCAGCTGAATAAGCACTCGTTATGACAAAGAAAATTCTCCTACATACTTGTGTACTTTGGCAAAATCCTTTTTCTGTTAAAACCTCTTAATAAAAACCAATGTTTTCTATGCTTCTTAAGTAAAATTGATCATCTATTATCTAATAAAAATGATTTTATTGTCTGTATATCATTTGTTTACCTTTATTTCTTTTAAAACTAAGAGAAATTTAGTTCTACCAAAGAAAATACATTCTTGGCATCGAAAATGACAATAAATTATAGTTATATTATATTAATTGCAATCATTTTTTTTCTTTCAATGCGCACAATATTAAAAAGTTAAAATTAAAAATTATAATTGCCATGTAAAACTACACATAAATTTTTGTTCTTTTTATTATCTATATTCAGCGTTTTATTATCTATATTCAGCTAAAAAAGAATATTTAATGAACAAATGCAATTATGACAGTTTACGTTACAGTGATATGACTGAATACTTTCACGCATTTTATATATATGCATTTCTATGAAAACGCTGCAAACTTTAAAGGAAAGGCCTTGTTGTGTGTGTCTTTTAATATACAGGAAACCTATCATTTAACCATAATAAAATATGAAGTACCGAGAAGGGGCATAAATTTGCACGAGAAAGAGGTCTGACCAATAAAGAATCATTTGTTACGATATATGACTACGAAATTTTCAAAGGAGGATATGGGTGGGGTACTACATTTGCGTTTCGACGCACATACAGAATATATGTACATATGTGACATACATATACATATATGTTTTCATGCAATGGCGTCGAAGCTGCATCTGACAATAAAAATGTCGTTACCCAACGTATAATTATATTTTTAAATGCATTATCTGTAAAAATATATATATATGTATATATCATGTTTATGTTTTTGATATGTCTGCAATCGCCTGGCGAGAATGTGCTTTATTTTGGCTTAACTGCGACATTCATTAACATATTTATAGAATTTTTTAACGTGCTCGTAAACGTCACTAAAGGCTGCAAAAACACCGCATTATTTCCCTTCGTGTTTCATCATAAAGTAACACTCATCACGATGCAATTTTCATGATTTTATTTTCATATAAATGAATTTAGCGCTAAAATGTATTTCCTAGGCGAATAGAAAACTATGTGAATTGTGAGAAATTAGAAGCAAAGAATTGCTAAAAAATTACAAGAAGCAAAATGAAAAATAGTATGCAGAAAAATGTACATACATATTATATACATATTATATATTATACTTTGAAGAGATATTTTTACTCGTAAATATTGAATTACTCGACATATGAATAAAAACGAAAGTTGCAACGGTTTACGATCGTCAAATGCGAGCTTTCTTCCTACTTTCTTTCCTTTCGCCATTCATCTCTACGCCATTGCCGATAGATTTACATACGCATACAAAGGAGCACGTAATACGAAACTCCCTATGCGCTTCGGAAAGAGATACTCCCACATGAGTTTCGGTGCATGCGAGGTCCTTCGGTTGATTTTCGGTCTTTCTTTTTTAAATGGATGTGGGATCATTGTCTACGCATGACTACGACCACAAAACACGTGGGCGTAAACTGGTAAGGTCCATTGAACATTAGAAAGATCCTTGAAATTTTACTACCCTACAGTAAAATTAGATTCTCTATTATCTTACAATAAAATTGAACGAAATCGCAAATGTGTATTAATAGAAACATATTATTTAATTGACCCTTTTATCATTTTCATTAAAATTTATACACCGGATAAATAATCGTGACAACTAAACTGATAAATAATTTAGAATAAAAATAAAAATGCAGATTTCGAAATGAGAATGTTATTATAATATAAAGATATAAGTTTATATTCTTTTACAAAAATCTAATACTAGCTAATTTAATATTGGCGAATTTATTATTAAAAGACGTTAATTAATTACTTATTTGGAATAGTAAAAATACTAAACAATAGTGTTTTTTGTAATAAAATACGTAATTAATTATTGTTTTTTTAGCAGTGGCTAGTATTAAATTTCTTTAAAAAAAATGTATATATCTTATTTTTATCAATAATTGCGATATTTATGTGAGATTCTGTAGTATCAGCTATAATATTTCCAACGTAAACTATATACTAAATGCGCATTTATTGATAAAAGTGAAATGTGAATACAGATTAAAAAGTAGAAGTTTTAATATGGTGCGACTGTCTTTTTACTTTCATATTTTTTTCTTTAAAGAAATATGAAGTTAAATTAAAGCTTTTAAAATAAAATATTTAATGTACGACAATCCTGCAAAAATCGATTTACTTTTTATAAGGAATTTAAATGTAATGCTATTTTATCAATAATTTTTCTTCCACTTCGATTAATTAATATACAATATTAGGAAATGTAAATATTAGGAAATGTAAATAAAGTGTGTAGTTAGAGCAATTTATTTCTTCGCGGACCATCGAACGATTAATCGCGTATTCTCGTTCGTCGGACGATACGTAAAATAATTACCTATCCCTTTGCCTTTGCACATCTATACATTCTTGCCGTAAGCGAGACGCATTTTCTAAAGCCGAACCTTTGTTTTCTTAATTGAACTGAGTGCCCTCGTATAAAACTAGTGAACGATAAAATGGGGTTCGCAGGATGCAGAAGTTGTTCCTCAAGTAAAAGTCAAGTTTGCGATATGCATAGCGTGATTTCGCGCTGAATCCATCTTCTTTTTTTTAACGTGTTAGTAAAGTTAAAATTTTTCACCGTAAATCATTAAAATGCATGACTCTTACGGGAATGGGAAGCTCGGCAAGATGAGATCTCTAGGGAATGTTTAATCGTTAGGGACACTAATTTGTCAGAACCAGTGACATGAGGATCCCGAAATACGTCGTTACAGATGGTAATCGTCGTAAGAGCGCAAAAGAGGTCCTCCTTTGCGATAGTGGAAACGTCGAAACGGAAGGAGAGATAGAATCACGCAGAATTCCCATTTACGAATAAATACGCAATCCATAGGGAGCATTTTTTTCACATAGAAAAAAGAATTTCCTGAAACAAGCGATGTTTAAAATATGAAGCTATCGATACGGATGATACAAAATCCGCCGTCGTTTTGACTTTTTCAAATGCGTGAGAAAATATGTATACTTCATAAACACGAGGAAATTAAAATCGTATTATTCTAATACCTAGAAATACGACAAAGGGAAATAGTATATCTTATATTATTCTCTCAATTTCTAACTCATTGTAGATATAAACATACAAGTTATACTTGGAACTTGTTAATATTAAAAGATCTTAAATGATGATACTGCAGACACGTTATTTGTTATAAATTCTTTGACTTTGTATCAATGTTCGTAAGTTTTATATCTTACTTTTTCAATTCACACTAACTATTTTATACTTTATTAAAACATCACAGATTTAGATTTTTTCTTTTTTCAATTATTTATAGTTTTGTATCAATTTTTAACTTTTAAAT